TACAAATATATTTAAGATTTGAAGTATATTAGGGATGAAGTATCTTCTGCACTTCCCTTTATGTGTTCAGTTTTTGCATTTTTCACTTTCGACACTGAAAGGCATCAGGAAAGGTTTTCAGTTTCTCTCCCGAGTTGGCTCAGGTTTGTGGTGGACCAAAGCCCTGATTCAATAATCACCTGCTGAGCTTTAACCACATCCTTAAGCTCAGCTTTATTCAGGAAAGTTCTTAAGTTTGAGATAAAATCCCAAGAGTTTCAATGATTTGGTAAATCTTGAGAGAGGGGTTTGGCTGCTCCTTTGTCCTGCCAAAATGCTCAGCGAAGCTCTCACTGAAGGCAGGACTGGGGTTGGTGTCTCTCTGTGAGCACATTTTTTGTGGTGCTGGGCCAGGATGCAGTTCCCAAGGGCACCGGGATGGCTGATACCTTGCAGTGAGAGAGCAAAGGATCTGCCCCCCCATCTGTCCATCCATCCATCCATCCATCCGTCCATCCATCCTGGGCTACTCTGTGTTGAGTTCTGCCCCACACAGGCTTGAACACCGTGGTTGCATGGGGCAAGCAGAAGGGCAGTTCCTCTAAACATGGCAGCAGGTAGGGAAGAAGAAGAGGTGGCGACGGCACTTAATGATTTAACCCAGAGCAGCCGAAGAGCCCTTGGGTCACCCATGCGCACCCGGCTCCGTAAGGACCATCCCTCGGCAGAGACGGTGCAAACACTTGGATGGACGCAGCAGCTCTGCTGGGCATTGCCTCCGCTTCCATCATCCTCATGATTTAGGTGACCAGAAGAAGGGCAAGGGTTAAAAAGAGAGTAATTAATATAAGACGACTGTTCATTACTATAAGACGTCTGTGTATCATTAAATTTCATTTAAGCTTTAATTAGACAATTTTTTTTTTCATATAAAAGTCTTTGTTGTGTCAATTAGTTGATTGACTATCATCTGGTTTCTGGGTTAGTGAAACCTGATCCGTTGTGAATGAATTTGTTTATCAGGGAAAAGGGACCAGGGGATGGAAAAAAAATTCAATTAAATGTCAATGTGTGGAGTGACAAGCAGCATTCGATAGGGCTTTTAGTTTAATTGCTTGTATTTCATTAAGAGATATATTTATCAAGAGAATTCTTCATTTTCAAAAGATCTTGGATGTCTTCTTGTTTGCTTCTGGCTTTTTAGGTACTCTTGTAGTAATCAAAAAAACATAGAGAACTCTTTTTTAATTAGAAAAAGTACTTTATTGTGACATGTCCTGAGACAGTTACATCACTGACATGCGGTGACAGCCTTCTGGTGACATCCACATGCAAATTGCAGGGGACAGGGTGTACCCCTACGTCATTTGTAAGACGATCACCAAAGATCTGCCACTCCCTCGGCTGTCCCGTGGCCCGTGACCACGCTGAAAATAGTGTGTTAATCCTGAAAGTTTCTGTGAGGAGGAAATCATTCAGCTCCCAGCCCTGGGAACATTTTGGAAGGTCTGTTTCAAATCTTTTAAAGGCTGTAAATCCCTTTGGGAGGAATGGTTTTCATTTGTGTTTTATTTGGATTCCAGCTCATCACTTGTGGTTGACAAATAAAAACGAAATAGCCTTTGATAGGGAGCTGGCTGGCTCATAGTACAGCGTGTTTGGCCTGAGCTGGTGTTGTTATATAGGGGCATCGCCTGGAGTATATACAGTCACACTGGAATAACGTGCTGAGAGCACTGAAGTTTATTTTGATAACTTTCTGTTTATTTCTAATCCAGCCTAAAAACTGTGAGTAGATAAGCGTGCAGCTGGGTTTGTTTGAGAGATGGCAACAGGATTCCAACAAAGCTTCCAAAATGTTAAACAAATGGTTATTTTCCTGAAGGAAACGGCAGGAGCTAGAACCCCCGCACGCAGAGCATGGTGATGGGGCTCACCCCCAGCACGCCTGCTGCCGCGGGAGGAGCGATGGGACGCGGATGCAATGGCACGTGCCCCGTTGGCGTAGGACCTCCAGCAACGCTGCTCCAAGGGCATCAGAGCCCAGCTTTACTCTTGTAGAGCACTGGATGCATTGGCCAGCAGCTTTTGGGGAAAGGAATATCTTTTGGCCTGGATGTAGGAAAATACCTGGCCAAGCGATCAATCTCTTGGGTATGGAGGAGAACTGGAGCAAAGAGAGCCACTGTGACACCAAGTCCTGCCCTCTGTCCTGCAGGAAACCCTGTTGTGTATCACTTCGGTAAGGTGATCAAGCTCCAGCTCAAAACTAGTTTAATTCCTCGCCCTTGGGAGATTGTCTTTGCAGATATGGAGGCGTGGGAGTGGGGAGTCTCTCTCTGTGGATTTCCTCAGTGCCCAGCAGAAATCCTGGCAGGGCCTCTGGGAGTGTCTGTATGATAAGTAGCTCTAATGAGTACTAATTACAGCCAGCACGAGTGATCAAGTTCTTTCCTGAAACACATCAGTTCAGCATTTTCTGCCATGTCTGTATTCTGTGCCCCCATTTGCTTGGAGAGTACAGCCAGGACAAGGTCTGTTCTCAGAAACTCATTATTTCTCTCATTCTGTGATGAGAATTCACTTTCAAAGAGTTCAGATAAGATGTTGGGAGGCAACGCATAAAGCAACTGGCAATTATATTCTCCCTGAACATTTTGTCTGCAATGCTACACCAGCATCATGACAATGACTGGGAAGCTGGGGCTTTTACATGAGCAAAACAGAATGTCACAGCATGGAGAAACCCTCCAGCTTGCTCTCTCTGGGAGCAAACGATCACTTTACAAATGTGCTTGGAGAGACCCAAGGTTTGGGCAAAGCAGAGCTGACATGGGTGAAGAGAATGTATTTTACCAGAACCTACTGAAGAAGGAAAAATAAAAACCAGACCAGCCTTTCCAAGAAAGCTTCGTAGTAGCAGCAGCAGCAGCAACAGAAGAAGAAGAAGAAGAAGAAGAAGAAGAAGAAGAAGAAGAAGAAGAAGAAGAAGAAGAAACTGTACAGAGCGAGGCAATACTGTGTGATGTTTGGGAATAATTATGAAGAATCCTGCTCTTCCAACGATGGACAAGAACTCTAGAAGAGCAAAGGGAGCATGCTGTGAACATCATACACCTGCATCACATACTCCTCCATGCTTCAAGCTGGGGTGGGATTGGCAAACCTGGCTTCATTTTGGAGGCTGAAGGAGGCAGCTCAAGGTCTTTAGGTCTGGCCCTGCTCAGCATCTCCTCCCCTATGCGGTGGGAGGAGGCACGCAGCGCTCCTCTTCCCCATCTGCCCATGAGTGGCGGCGGTTGCACAGCTGTGTTGTGCAGCCGTGCAGCCCAGGAGAACCCCCAAGAGGTTTCTTTCCTGACTTTTTGGAGCATGTGGTCCTGCAGGGTGCTTCCCTGTGCCCATCAGGAGCTGGATGTTCAGAGTTGAAGACCACAGGTTTTGATCGCTGGCTGGGCAAGCCATGATCCTTTTAGATATGTGTGTCTTCATGGATGTCCAGACATGGGCAGACTGTGCAAACTGGGCCACAAAAAAAAGAAACGGTAAAGAAATCTTGTGAAAAATATCCCAACAGAAACGAATATACACCTACTCACCTCCCCTGGAGCAAGACCTGCCTAGACATGCCCATACCATGTCCCTAGGAGAGGTCCCAAATCTGGGGAGGTGTCTCTGCAGTGTCACCCCCAGGCGCCAGAACAGCCTCTTTCCTCTTTCTTTGGCAGCGTTATTCAAGCTCATGGCATTGATGCCCAGGGTTTTTAGCCATTACTTTTTCCTGAAAACAAAAAATATTCTGTTCGGAGAAGAAAGGTTTTCCAGTCATGCCTTCTCAGTGTCTCCAATGAGCTGCTGGTTGTGTGCAGGAGATGGGGCATTAATATTGCTCTGGAACTCCCCAGCCTGGTGGAGAGCCCCATGGGAAGCTGACAGCACCATGGCTTTGAACCAGGACCTCTGGCTCATTAGACAGACATCATTACCCTGGGGAGCATCTGAACTTACCAGACTTTGTGGCTACTCCATCCATCTTGGCTCCTGTGACAATTCAGAGGTGTGGAAAGGTTCCTGGTAAACCATTCAGACCTGCCTCACCCATCAGTTTTTGGGGTTTCCCTGGTCAGGGGAAGGAGGGACCGTGTCCCACGTGTCACGTACTAGGCATCCTCATCCTGTCCTTTGCTCCACAGAAGCTCCTCCGTTGAGCTATGTCCTGAGGTCCTGGCTGTGAGCCCATGGTGGAGAGGACTGCTGGGAGGTGCTGCGGGAAGCCGGTTCAGTGTGCCGAGCAGCTCCAGCCCCTCAGCCACAAACACTTTGTTTTCATCTCTAAGTAGCTGAAGAAGTGTGTGCCTATCAGTAAATCTCCATCATCCCAATTGCAGCGTGTTTCCTCAGATAAGGGTGCTGTGTAATGGCAATTATGTTTTCATTTGTTGTGAGAAAACTTAATACGCAGAGTGGCAGAAATGTTATTCATGCTCTGTTAATTATGAGCTACTTACTGTAGGGAATCATGCAAAAACAAAAAAGTGTAATCAAATGAAATAAAGGGGAAGCAGCTTGTGCACTTGCCTTCATGCCAGGTGGAATTAGCTCCTGCAATGCTCTGTCACCAATTATCATGAATAATGCTGCGTGGCCCCGTGCGTGACCTTGCCTTCAGCTCTGCAGTGGCACAACTCCCTGGGGAGATGGGTGCAAGGGCCTGGGGATGTGGTCCAGGAGTGCTTAATGCAGCAGTACTCCCATGGGACTGAGCTTGCATGAACTCTGCTTGTCCCACCATAAGCTCTGAAATGGAGCTGCTGGAGAATCCCAGCAGAGCCCCAGATGGATCAAAGAGCTCGGGCCGTTGCCTTTTTTACGTCACAGTGTTTTCCTCCTCCAGGCTGTGGGATGCACCAGGAAAGAAAGGGATGGGGTCATGCTGGGGATGGCTGTAGGCCCGTGAGCCCAGGAGCAGGACTAGCTGTCCCTGCAGGTCCAGAGCCAAGCAGGTGGCAGGGCAGCCGTGCTCCCACATGGTCCAGCGGTCAGGATTCCTGGTTTTCACCCAGGCAGCCCGGGTTCGACTCCCGGTGTGGGAAAACAGTTGTATTTCATATTGTCCCTGTTTTGGGGCTCTGCAGGACAAGGAAGACCACTGGAGTGCCTGCTGGAGTGGATCCAAGGCAGCCTACCAAGGTGGCCAGGGCTGGAGCACGGGATGGACGAAGGGAGGCTGAGGGACAGAGCTGGGTCTGTTCAGCCCAGAGAGAAGGCGAGGGGAAGATTTCATTGCTGCCTAGTGAGAAGGTGCAGGGAAGATGGGGCCAGGCTCTTCCCGGAGGCACGCAGTGGGAGGATGAGAGGCACCAGCTGGAGCAAGGGAAGTTCTCCTTAGTTATGAAGAATAATTTTATCACCACGTGGTGATGAAACACTGGAACTGGGGCCCAGGGAAACTGTGGGGTCTCCATTCCTGGAGATATTTGAAACTTGACTGAACAAGGCCCTGAGGAACTTGCTCCAGCTGGACCTACTGGAACATATAGGCTGGACTAGAGACCTTCAGAGCACACTTCTGATCCATAAAGTTCATTCTTGGAAGGTGTTAGGATGGTTTTAATTTCCCTAGGGACAGGATACTTGGTGGTTCCTCATCCTAGTTGAGCTGCCTGAGCTCTCTTCACCTCTCTGGTGACCGAGGGGATGGCTTCGGTGCAATGCTGAGTTACATTAGAAGTCAGTGAGACACAAAATATGCCTTGGAAGGAGTGAGAATTACACAAAAACATTTATTTGAGATGGCAAGGAACAGACGGTCAAGGAGTCGAGGCTGGGACACTGCTTCCCTGATGGAGCTGCTGCTCCAACAGCGTGCACCCTGCCCCTGCAGCTAGCACATCAGTTACACCAGGCCTGTGTGATACTCATGCACGGGTATAAATTTGTCCTGTGGGTAGGAGAGGAATGAAATAACCAGGGTGTGATCTGTACAACAGCTTGGCAACTGATGAGGATTGTCAGTAATGCAGTTTTGAGCACTGTAAGCTTAACAGCCTGACATAATGTAGCAAGCACTTTAATTCCCAAAGAAAGATTTTTTTTTCCAGAAAGTAATAAATAGCAACCGTAACTTCTTTGAGGGAAATTTCCCTGCAGATCTATGACATATCTAATGAGAAACTTCCTTCTGAGCTCATACCATTAAGTATATAAGAGGAGGGATGCTACTTACATTTTGCATCCCCTGTAAGTACCTCTGCATAAAGAGAGAGACTTTATAGAGGTGTCCACCTAATATGTCTGCATGGTGTTACAAGACTTGGATTTTTCAGGGTTCAGTGCTACCACTGAATAACTTTGCCTTTGTCACACAAGTGTTCCTGTTGAGTTCCTCAGACCGTAGCAGGGGACTCACCAGACCTAAAACCCCATGAGCGTGTTCAAATCTGAAAATGGCCACAAGCTGCAAACACCGTTATTTGAGTCATTTGAATAATGACTAAATTCTTGATTACTTGGATCTTTCCAGGAATGACCAGGAACAAAAAAAGAAGTGAGATTCATCGTCTCAGCCTTCAGCTGTGAATTTTCTGCTCAGCTCTGCTGCTGATACCGAGAGAGCAGATGCTTCCTTACTCTGCAGAAACACAGCGTGTGAAACAGTATTTTAACAGCTTTATCTGATATTTTATATCTCACTGTCAAACATAGCAATGATTCCACTTCTATTTGGGTAAGTAATCTGAAAAGAAGGCAGCAATAATCTCTCAGGAGAGCCAGGCACGGGACTAATTACTCCAGCTAGAGATTTGTAAAGACACATTTTCGGTGCTGGGATTTTATCATTCCACAGGGTAATTAAAAGACAACCCTGTCAAAGGAAGTTTTGCAGTCTTAAATATTCCTTTTCCTCTATGAAGAATAACCCTTTCCAAGCTCAGCATTGGGATGGCTTTATTTCCCAGCGATGAATGAGGGCTACCCATGGTGCCTGCCTACCAGCAGCTCAATGCCGTGCTCGGGTGTGGGCAGTGGCTGGGCAGAGCAGTGGCGGTTTCTGTGTCGCCTCTGGACGTCAGGCGTCGGGAAGGAGGGATGCTTTTGTAGAGGGATAAACCCAGCAAGAGATTATCTGGCCACTGAAGAGGTTTAAAGAGACACCTCTCTTGGGCATGTTGATCGGATTGTCAAGTGCTGTAAGTCGGAGTCATGCATCAGCGACCAAGCGGAGGCAGAATTTCTGCTTGAAATTTGTTGAAGCACTTGCAGAAATCAGGACAAGGAAACCTGTTCGCCGCAATGGGTTATGGCTCAGCCACCTCTTGAACGGGGGTCCACAGCCTGGGACCAGAAATAACATTCTTGGCTGCTGCAGAAAAGGGATCGGTGTGTGCTGTTATGGACAGATGTTGCCCTTGGGTCATTCCCCTTACCCCTGGTTGGGAAACAGCCCTCATGTGGGGTGAAGCAAGGTGTTGCTGCCTTGATCCCCTTCTCGAAGTTTATACAGCACCATGCTTTCTGCGTCAGGCTGGCTCAGTGCAACCAGCAATGATCACAACAAAAGCAGAGTTCAAAGGATGACTGATTGGCAGAGGGGATTTAGGCACAGGTTTGCAAATGTCATGGAAGGACAAGTTACATTCAGGGCAAACTACTTGGTTCTCAAGGCAGTTCAGATCTCTAGTCAAAGAGTCAAACTGCTTAATATCCACAGTCTCCTCCAAGGCTGATGCTGGGTTTTCCAAAAGTTATCACTGAGCCATTTACTCTTTTGGATAACTTGATAATATGGATAACTTGGATAATTTGAAAATCTGAGTGTGGACATTGTCTCCAGGTCCCCGTGATTCCCCCATGGCAGCAGGGGTGCTTGTGCACAGTTTGGCAGTGATACGGGATGGTCCATGCAGGTGAAAGCATGAGAAGCACATCTGCACTGCTTGGTCCATGGGATGCCAGGTCAGCCTGAGACCTCTGCTTCATGCCTGTGTCCCATGCAGACCCTTTCTGCATCTTCCTGCTTAAACCCCCTGTTTTTTAAGATGGGTTTTATGTCCAGTAAAGGATTTGGAAGTTAAGGAGTTAATTCTTAAAGAAACAAAAACTTTGGAGCTGACTTTAGTGTCCTTGAGTAGAAAAGGAAACCACTGGCCGTAGTCTGAGAACAAGGCACTGCACCTGCACCTCGTCTGGTTGTCAGCTCTTCCTTCTCCTCTCCATCAGTGCCTTTTGATGCATACGAGGACCAGAGATATGACAGGCCATTGAGACTGGTGTGACATGTGTAATGAGAAAAGAAGAGTATAAAATGCAATGTATCACAAAATTAGCATCACCCAACTGCCTGTTCCTTGGCATCCTGCCAGTTTCCATCTTTATCTGGGCATTGTTTAATTGCCTAATTGTTATACTTAATTTATTTATTTTTAACTTGCCGTGAGCATGTAGAAATGTAAATTTAGCATTAGAAGATCACTTAACAAAGGATTCCTTTTCAGAGAGGTTGACTTCTCGCATTGCAGCTTGCAAGTTTTTTGCCTGGGATGTGAAAATTTTAGGCTCCAGCTGTGCCAATTCCAGCCAGACCCTGGCAGGTGGCAGTTAAAACTGTGTGGCAAGACTGGCGATTGCCGAGCGGGTCTGGTGCACGGGGGTGTGCATCGCCGAGCTCTCCGTTTCCCTTCCACCAGCAGCATGCTTTGCTCAGGGTCCTCTCTCCCCCCTGCATGGATGATTTCTCAGCTTGAGGCTTCTTGCAGATATGACATCAGAGAGCTGCTCGGGCTGCGGAGGGGGACTTTGTGGCATGAGTTTGTTTAATTGGTAAAAACTGAAAAGAAGGGTCCTTGAGGAACATGACAATCATTTGAGCTGAGTTCAGGTCTCGCGAAGTATCAGTCTCTGACCACGGAAACACATTTCACCGTCAGCCCTGGGGAGGGCACATCCGCGCTCTTCGTGTCCCAGCAGTCTCCAGATTTCCAGTCTGATTTTAGGACCAGTGAAAGTGGCGAGACTCCACATTCCCGTGGGCAAGTCAGAGGCTCTGGAGGAAGAGTGAAATAGCAAATTGAGATGAGAGTTTCCCATTTCCTCCATCCTAGTCAGGCCACAGAGCCTTGCTGCAAACGACATTAATCTATGCAGCCATTTACTGTGGGTTTTTTCCAAATCAGTATTTAGAAACCGTCTCATATTTCTATGAAGACAATTCCTTATCACTTTTTTTATCTGCTAGGGAGCGCTCTGATCAACAGGAACTCTATGCTGGGAATGGCCTAATTAAGCAGAATTAGCATTTTATCATATAATACTAATATTTAATCCTATATTCATGCAGCCTGCTTTAAATATACTCCTTGCACATCCTTTCCTGTAAGTCTCACGCTATGCCAGCTCCACTCTGTTTTTATCTATAAGGAATTGAGCTCATACCTGTGACAGGTGCAGAGTGTGTTAAATCTTTTGATCATCACACAAACCACTCATCCTGATGTCCTTTAATCTAAGCAATGCAAAGAAAATCCTATGCACTAGCTTTATGCTTCTTCCATCTCCCCGAGTTTAAACAGGAGGCTCCGCAGCTACAGATCAATGGACCTAAATTGTTTGTCTTTAACTTAGGCGGGTTTAAAGAAAAGCTGCTCAGCCCAGCTGTCTGGAAGTTCACAAGATGGGAAGGGCTGCGTGCCGTCTAGTGATGAGGGAATTTGAGTTACCTTTGAAACTTGGTTGAGTTTTTACAGCAGTCGAGTAATTAAACAGGAGAAAAACATCACAGCGAATCACTTACTGCTACATTTTTCACATCTTTCTTGTTGCTATTCTGAAACTAATAGTGAAATTCTTTAATTTATCATTATTAAGAATTATTAAGTATTAAGAATTATTAAGAGTTTCTGTAATTCACAAATGTGGTTGGAAATTCTTTTTTTTTTTCCCCCCCCTCTGGGAATTATTCCTGAATAATTTGTGTGGAATAGCCGATGTTCCAGTATTGCTATTGGTTCACATGGGTGGCGTGAGCCATCTGTGCGTTCCTGCCTCTAGACTGGCTGGGTCTGG